AGGCTTGAATCCACATTGCATAGCCTGGCCTAGCCTTCTTTTTTAACTGTGTCTTGTTCTTCCTCATTTCTTTTTAGAAAACAATTTAAAGCGCCTGACTTCTGGAGAAGTGCACGCTAAGACAGCATGTTAATGAACTAAGCTGATGACTGCACATATCCCCTTTGATCTTAAGGTAATTGCAACAATTCCATGTGTATAGACAGTGAATCACAGCTTCAGTACAATGCTACTGCTGACCAGGTTTTACTGGACTCCTACTGTAGACAGACGTCTCTCCGCCTGGGCCCGGGTGAAAACAATCACTGCACTTAATATATTCTATTTTATGTCGTTTTTTGCCAGAGGGAACACGCACGTGACACCACAGCAAAGCTTGAGCGCTCCATCCACAGTAGAGCCACCCATTTCCTGTTGTGTTTAATTCAGCCCTTCCCATTGCTAATAAAGTTATGAAAGTAAGCAAACAGTGGCAATGCAGTTTGATCCAAAGCACAGACCTTTTGTATTGTAATGAAAAGGAGTTTGAAGTCACAGAGCTGGATTTTTATTAGCTGTATCTTGGGAAGAATAAAATTGAATAATGCTACATTAGATGCAGTGTGTATGAATGTCTGGGACTACGGCATATTGGATTTTTCTGACATTTTCTGACAATAGTAGATTTCGTATTTCATCTGCTGAACTCAGGCATCCACGCGTAAATATGGCATATGAACTAAGCCAGTGATTTCTGTGTTAGGGGTCTGTGATGAAACTGATTCAGTGTCACGCTTGGGTGCCAGGTTATCACACACCTTCCTGCCCCACAATCCCATTCAATCTCTTTCTCTCATTCGCACCGCTGTGAACCTGTTTCACCGTCCCTGGGAGCAGCTTTCCATTTCTCGCTACACCACTGAGAAAGAGATTCAAGGTTAATTTAGTTCATTTAGTTGGTAGAAGCTATACCGAATCTTTGTATGGCAGTACAATACGTTCTGATCTGTTTTATTTAATTTTGTTTCCCTCATCTACAGCTACCTTTGCTGTAGACACACACACACAAACCTTCATAGGGAAAAAAAGAAGAATGCACATAAAGGTATTTGCTGTTTATTAGTCTACACAAAGGCCTCCGCAGCCTTGTAGCTACCTGTGAAACCAGGCCAGATTTCAGGAACAATGAAGTGTAGTGCTCTGCGATGCTTCTGGCTGCTTTGGCTTCTCCTAATCGTTATTTTACTCCCTCTGTCTGAATTCTGCACCCACTTCAAAGCTAATGAAGTGAAGAGTCAGGCAAGTTGGCAGTCATGAGAAACAGAACGCACGGAGTTTTCCAAGGACACTTTTTCCTTTCGTTCTTCTTCTTCTTCTTTTTTTTTTTTTAAAGAAAAGACAAATATGAGTGCAAGTATTCTGAAGGGCAGCATTATGAATGGGACAATAATAAGCACTGGTTTGTTGCGAAGTACCTGCTTCTAACCAAATATCAGATTTGAGTGTTTGGGTTTTTTTTTCGTTACTTTGAAATAAGACAAAGGTCTAATTGGTTAAAGTGAATGCAGCGAGTGGGAGTTTTGCCATCTTACCCTTTAAAGTTTGTCGTGGTCTTCTTTTGAGTCTCTCTGGAACGTTTGCAATGAAACTGGGACACATTAGTGACTTGAAGCCCTTCCACGATTCACTGTCTCATCATCTCTGAGTTATTATGATAGCCTCGCATACTCAGCAGCACTCATCTGATTGGGACTGACACACTCTCTCTACGCCTCTTCACTCTTATTCCTCTCCCTGGGAAAGAAGGCCTGGCTAAGCCGGTCTTTCCATGCCATCTTCTGCTCCGACAAATGCTGACTATGGGTTGATTGTAAACAGTCTGCTACTTGGGGGTACAAGGAGGTGAATGAAGTTGGCCTTTTACAGCTCAAGGGCAACATTGCACAGCTCATTAAAATCCCTGTATCTGAGCTAAATAACAAGAGAGTTTTCAGTTTTCTGCTTTTATGCGATTGCTTTTTGTTACTTCATTATACCAGCAGCTCAGATGTGTTCAGTTTGCCACGTTAAGGAGGCTTCCTAGTTGTGCATGCAATGAAAATGTTCGGCCTCTTTGCAAGCCATCATGGTGTCATGTCAGGTTCTTATATCACACTGTCCATTCCTCATAGGATTAGACCACTGAGGCGTGTAAGACCCCTTTGAAATTAAGCTCTTCCACGCTGCAGTGCAATCTAAAAGATTGTGTAATTTTTCTTACACAGACATGATTAGTCCACATTATTCACCCTGCAGAGAGTTCAGTCTGTGCAGTTGGGTTAGAAATGAATTAAAACAAAGAATTAAACAGTGACGCTGCTTTCAATGCATCCCATTCTTCTTCACTGACAAAAACCTGCTGCCTTTAATACCCACAATGCAACTGGTGGGGTGAGAGATTTTGGTGTGTGTTGGCAGCAAATTTGGCTCTAAGCCTCTAGAGCTCTAAGAAGCTCACTTATGTCCAAGGTACGAGTTGAGGAGGCTTTGTATCCTCTCAGTTTCCAGCTTTTCCCAGCTCTTGTTTTTACATATGGAGTCGTAAAGTTGTACACAGACTTTGATGTGTAAAATTGCTGGAAGCCCTTCTTAAGATGTTCTCTTTGCTTTAGATTTAAAAGACAAATTGATTCATTTTTAGTTATTCTCTGAATTAAGTTGCTTTTTTCTTTTGGCAGATTTTTTCCTCATCCCTCATTAAAAACTTGCAGAGATGGAGTCAGCCCAGGCTGCAGCTTATCTGATCCAGACACTTAGCCGCATTCTGTCCTGGTCTTATTGATAAAATCCAGCCCTCATTCTGCTCACCTGATACTTACTCGACGCTGCTTCCTGGATTTCATTCCTTTGAAATGCAGGCAGTGCTGTAGTTCGCGTACCCACCCTGGCTTTGTGTCCAGGTTTGCTCTGAATGCCATCATTTTCAGCGCTGTAGAGAAGCAGCCTTGGGTTGCAAACACACACGTGTGTGTCTTTGTGTTTCTTCCACAAAAGCTGAGAATACTTTGATAAAGAAGGTCATTAAAGTGTCATTAGCTTTGAGGTGTCGAGCCCCCACAGATAACACATGGGGAGCTGGGACGGCTGAGCTCCGAGAGAGAGGGACAACGGGATGCTTGACAAACCACACTCAGGAGATAGCTCGCCTTGACCTGTTCATGCTCCCTTCTTTGTGATTCCTTCTCATCGTTCTGATGTTTTTTTTCCCCCTCCACAACAGTCATTCCCAGAGTCCCCAGTGTGCAACTAAAGCATCACTGCAAGCTTCCTCCCTCCTCATCCTTGTTGATGGCAACTGTTTGCTGCCCACACAAAGCATCGATTTGATACTCATACAGCTCCTGCATTGTAGCTCTCGTATGAGCATTGTTTCCCGCTGACCATGAAACTGCTGCCCTTGAAAGCAGAAAAACTGACATCTCCTAAAATCAATTTGGCGTAATAAAAGAAATGTTTGCTGTAGCTTTCTAGAAAGCTACCCACTTTGAGAAATCCAAGCTTTTCCTGTAACCCAGTGCTCCAAACCTGAAACAACTATGACACCTGGAATTGTAATGGAAATGCAGTGGGCACTCAGAATGACTAAGAGCAGCAGTGATAGCCCATAGCACAGTCGATAACTGCTTGGCAGCACGAGCTAGGAGACTTGACTCAATTTGTAAAAGTGAGCCACTCTCTGGCTGCATTGCTGCCGAGGATAGTGTCGCCGGAAAGCTGACCATCACAAAAGTGCAGAAGGGGACAGTTTTGTTTATTAAGGAGCGCCACAGCTTTACAGCGAGGAGTGCAAACTGATCTAAGGACACATGAATCATTTCTCACTGGAAGGTTTGGTCAATTACAGGTCATCTGTGCTTTTGTTGTTCAATACATTAAAAGCTCTGTTCTGCCACTGTTGGACTTTTAAAGCTGTCCAAGCTCATGATTCAGTTTTATATATGCAGCATATGGCAACAAATCAAAAATCTTACTGCAAATGGAGGCACTTCAGCACTGATGAAGTAGCTAAATTGCACACTTGAATCACAGAGAGACTGTTTCTGTAAAATCTCTACTGCCACCAAGTGGTTCCCATTTGGCATACAAGTGCACAAACAATACAATGCCATGTGCAGCCATCGGGATGTCAGAAACAAACAGCTATTCTCTCCATCCATTTTAACCAGTTTAGGGTTGAACAGAGCCATAGAGTGAAAGGTGTTGTACACCCTGGACAGGTTGCCAGTCTGTTGCAGGGCTACATCTTTTTCTTAGTGAGATTTTATATATAAAATATTTCCTACATTTTTATACTTTTGAGTCTGTAGTTTTGCATGACTAACAGTTCAAAATCATCCTCAATGTTAAAATAATCAAAATAATCTGACTAAGAGGGACTGTAGTTAGTCTGAGTCGGACCGCAGTTGAAGACCGGTTGCCTCCTAACAGGTGAAATATACAGTCGCTTGCAATCAAAAGTGATCATTACCCAGAGGTTGAGGGTGTTGTGGCATCTGGACACTTAATAAACTCCAATTTTACATAGTTGCAAGGACGATTCTGGTGTGTCTGAGCCAAAAGTGGGCCATGCAGTAAAACGTTTGCAAATCGCTGCTCTGAACTGAAGGTTTGAACAGCAGGTGGGTGGGGCTTCTGCGTGCACCTGAACCGACCATGTTGGCGACATGCATACTTGCCGACTCCACACAAAGCCAAGAGTGGGAAAACCATCTGAAACAAAGAGTTTAGAGCAGTCTGAAGCCTGAGCTTTCAGCTAACAGAGATTAAATGTACATATGCTGACCTCATTATTTGAATCTGCATTTACCAACAGTGTGTGCATGACAGAAAATAAGGAAAAGCACAGCAGGTCCCCTTTAAAATTGAAAACATTCATAAATCGGCATGCTTTTCATATGCATTTGTGTTAAATCTTTGCTCCACAAGTCTTCATAAGGCAGTGTACACCGTCTCACGCGTTTTGTCCTGTATCTTCTTTGCAGTGTTCATCATGGCGACCGGACTGCTGGTGTACCCTTTCGGCCTGAACTCCACACTGGTCCGGTCCTTCTGCGGAGACTCTGACATCTACTACGCTGGCGAGTGCCAGATCGGCTGGGGCTACATGCTGGCTATAGTGGGAGTCATGCTCACCGTCTTCTTGCCCTTTTTTGCTAAATATGCACCGAAGGAGCAGCTGTCCCCTACCCCGCTGCCCACGCTCTTATAGTTATGTCTTGTTTTTCTTCTCCTCTTCCTGACGATCCTCTCTAATCTGGGCTTAATGTCACACGAAGACACCTGCATCGTGTTTTTTTGTTGTTGTTTTTTTTGTTTTAAAGACGATGCTGCTTGGGAAGCCCCCTCTGAGCAAGAACTAAAGCTGACGGCAGAAACAAGAAAACAAACCGTCTTCCTGCATCTCTTCGTTATTAATCCAGTCAATTTAAACGGGAAGTTTTCTGCTGTAACAATACTCTGCGGTTACGATTAGTGTTTTCCACTTCGACACATCTGTTTTCTTCCCGGCAGGTTTGGAGATGAAGCAGTCAGAAGATGCAAAGACTGATGAAACTGAGAAAATGACTGCAAACATAACAAATATGAAAAATATTAGGATTTCCTTTCCTTTCTTTTTTTTATGGTAAGAAACAAGTCAGCGTACAGTATGTAACATTCCAATGCAGACTGGAAGCATGAAAATAAGGGGCGGTATAACTCAAGCAATCGAATAATATTTCACTAAGAGGTTTTCAGAAACATTACATTTTGAAAACAGAGCCAACATGATCAATCAAGTGAAAAAAATCCACACGTCAGGACCTGCGTGTCTGGGTGTTTAGACTGTAAATACGTTGTGGATTTAACCGAGCTGATGTTTGAGCTTTCAGAACAACACTTTAATGAGAGAACGCTGAGGCTTTGAAGGATTTTTTTTTCTCCTCAGACTTTTTCTGCCTCCCGGTTTTTATGACCAGGCTAGCGAACCAGTGGGTGACGAGGAGACGTCACAGCTTTCGAAGACATCGCTTTTTAGTAGCTGCTGCAAAGAACAGGACAAAACACACAGCACCAGACCTGCTGTGAGGACGAATGGAAAACTGTCTCTTCAAAGAGGCGACTCGTGATGACTAACGAGTAGCTGTTTCAGAATGGTGTTGTGATTAAAAAAAAAAAAGATAAGATACTGCATCCCTTTTTGTTAATGTTTTTCCCCTCAGATCTATTTCGTGTAATGTAACTCGCTCGTTTTGTTCCGTCTTACAACACACAAAAACGAAAACATTTTAATTCAGGAACAAAATTATTGCAAAAGGCAAGGCCGTGCAGGAATTGTCTCTAAAGATGCATGATAAGATGGGCTTCGTCAACGGTGGGACTGATCTAGATTTTAAACATGATCTGACCAACTTGTGCCTTTTAACATAACCAAGACAAGTGTTTAATACGATTATCAGGTAATCATCTTTTTTCTGCTGAAAAATGTTGGATCCTGTTGTCTGATGTTATTTCTTATTCTAATTTTTTCCCCCCTCACAGCGTTACTCCTGTACTTGATGCAGTATGATCTCATTAACTTGAGAAAATGTTCTGGTGGAAAAAAAAGATGTCACTGAATCCTTGGAGATAATAAGAGAGAGAAGAGGGAGGGGAGGAAAAAAAAGGAAAAGCAGTGTACTTATGCCCTGAGACGTTTTTGCCAATTATCTGGAAGCGATAAATCACTTGAATTGCTGTATTAAGAGGTTGTGACATGCAGCTAACAGATTAATTCCTGGCATCCTTGTATTATGTGATTTAAAATAAATTTTGAGTGGTGGAGGAGGGAGCTGTACAAACTGAACTTTGGTTATCTCTGCAGAGCTCATGTGAAAACGTGGCTTAAAATAATTCCCTCCCTTAAATAAGCTAATGTGTTGGTGTGTTTTTATCAATCCATTCCTCCTTTTAAGCGTTGGCACCATTTCTGTCATGTTGCAAGGACAACATTTCTCCGCATCCTGTCCCCGTACACTGCCAGCTTCATCAAGCTAGACTCCCTTTTCTAGTGGGTGTTTGTGCGTATTCGTGTTTAATATTGGGTTGGAGTTTGATAATGGATTCAACTTTTGAAATAATTCCCAAATTTGGGTTCCCGTAAAGACATGAAGAAAATTACTGTGATTTTGTTGCCATATTCAAAAGATCAGGAGCCATCTGTTGGTATTGTATTGGACCTTATACTGTGCTCGACTGTGTGGGAATGACTGGCGTGACTGCACTGGACTTATTCCCCTCTTTGTTGAACCGTTGTGTGTAAAGTCTCGGCACTGGTGAAACTGTTTTTGCTAGAGTAGAATTTCTTGTTTTTTTCCATTGTGATGTTTGACTGTAAATAAACTAACTGTACTTGATATCACATGTTATTCCTAACTGCCCCGTTTTTCAAAGATATATTTTGAGATATTACCTCATCATGTCTGCTTTTACCTGAATTAACCTCTAAACAATGTTCTGCTGTTTTGTGAATTTTCTTTGTAATAAAAATATTTCGTAAGTTATAAAAAAAAAAATAAGAGAGGTTTTACTTTCCGGTTAGGTTTTGGTTAAATTATTATTTTTTTATTTAGGGATAAACGCAAAACAACATGAACACAAGCATGAGCTCAGCTGTTATAAAATACAAGTGAATGGAAACAGCACCCTCTACAGGTCAAAAACTTCAACAGTTTAAGTGTTAAAACTACTTGGGCTTGCAGCTAAAACCAATTAGAGAACACAGCACTGAGCTTGGCTCCTGCGTACACCCGAACACTGGTATGCTCTGCAGCTGCTGCTTTTCTGCTCAGACTTCACTGAGTGATTTGACCAGCGCCCGCATTTCTGCATCACAGGTTTTGACAGCTTCCTGAGCATTTCTCAGCTCTGAAGGCAGAGCCGGCCTCACAGACACACACATCAGGACATCTTTACTGCGGTCATAGTTACCCACACACCGATGGACCTGACCTCGGATCAGGCGGGGCAGTACCTGCTCCTGTTGGACCAGAGTCAAAAATGAGTCAGTGCTGTTTCATTTTTGGCAATAGTTTAAACATTTCAAACTGGTTTCAGCACATGTAAAAGCCTTTGTAAAGATTATGTACTTGTATGCACTTTTTTGAAAAAGAAAGTACAACCTCTTTCATTTCTAAGATTTTTATATATCTGATCTCTATTAGATCCTAAAATCAGATAAATCCAACCCCAGATAAAAAGTAACACTTGACATATTACACTTTTTGATGAAGACTAAGATAAAATGCAGGAGTAGTTTGTGGAAAGTGCACCAATACTGTTTCAAAGGAATTAAGAGTGCAAGTAGCAGCCAGTGCTGATAATCAAATGGATTTGATCAATGGATCATCAGTATGTGAGAGCAGACGTTTTGGCAGTTTGCAGGTTTGTCCATTCAGATGTGTGTTGCCACACAGCAGTGATTTTAGAGAAACAATTGTTGCTGCCCATCAATCTGTGGAGGGTCATAAGGTCATTTCCAGACAGTCCACCATCACATAGTGAGAAAGACTCAGTTAGTATGTTAAATTTTAAAGTTGCAGTAAGTTGCAACTGACCATGAAAGAGGCTTTACTTTCCTTTTCTGTATTGTGAACCATACTGTCCCTGTAAAACTCATTTTACATTCAAGCCACATTTGTTTGAATTTTTTCCCCCGACTCACATTTTCATAAAAGACACACTGCACAACCTCCTTCCCATCTCTCAGGAGGAAGTTCTTTGCTCCGTAGCGACCAACTGTGACCGCAGAGTCTAGAGTAGCTGAGGGGGAAGTGAAGCCTGTCAGATTAATGGTGTTTTTCTTCAAAAAAATAAAAATAAAACCAGTGAGAGCACAGCTGGGATAACAAATCAGCTCACCGAATATCTCAAATAAATAAGGCACTTTGTCTTTAAACTGACTCCAGTGCCTCATGCCATCAATAACTGCAGTCAGGATCCTCAGTGAGTGCTCGGTGGCTGGTTTCACTGGAAATGCTGCCTGCTCAACACACACAAATGTTGCATGGTTCAGCAAAAGTGCATTAAACATTAATTGAAACTTGTGGCTACCTGTCATAAACATATCTTTTTTTTTGTATAAATTTCTACCTGAGTTGGAGTTGGTCGCAGAGTGTTTTGTGGATTTGAGCTCATTTTAACCTCAAAAGGGGATCTCAGTGGCTCAAAGCTGTTTGTAAATTTCCAGGCGTTCTTCTGTGGCTCCGGAGCATTAGCAGACTGCCTCCTGGGTGGTGGAACTGGAGGAGGAAGAGCTCTAGACTGCTGGGAATACTGATGCGTGAAACTGGGTGTTCCATAAGATGACTTCCGGCCCATCTGAGATAACCCTGTATGGGGCACTGGCTGGCTTTGTCCACTCTCGCTACTGCGAGGGCCCTGATATGTGCTCTGTCTGAAATTGATGACAGAGCTGGAATCCTGCTGTCCCAGTGCGTTGCTGGATTGTCCCATCACTGAGCTGAAATGAAAGCCCAGCATTCAACAAACAGTAGTCCCGTGACATGCTTTAAACTTTTAAAAAGATAACATTTGAATTTCTTTGGTCTCTGTCATCTAGGCACTAATTTAAGTGCCTATAAAATCACAGCTTAAACAAGAACCTTGAAGTGCAATGATAATATCCATGGTTCTGAAAACTTTTCCACATGTCATTATCACAGACCAATTCATCCAGTTAAATACCATGTGGGTATATTTTAGCAGTCTACATACATGAGCTATAAGAAAAGAGAGACGCTACATGATCAGTTAACGACACCTTTTCTCTTTAGCTTTGTATGGATGAGGTATGGGTCCATAGGCTCTAGTTGAAGGGGCAGGTCCAGGGGCAGGTCTGTTGCTGCCATACTGCTGGGCTGGAGCAGACTGTGAGTTGCTTTGTCTGTTCCACTGTTGGCTTTGAGAGACACCAGAAGGGGAACCTGAGACCTGGTAACACCCAAAGGCACCTAAACAAAAGGTCAATTCTCATAGGTAAACTATCACAACAAACAACAGCTTCTGTCTGTAGATGTGAAGGGTTATATAAATGACTTTACAATGCTAACCAATGTTCTAAAAACATGTAAACTCAAGCATACCTAAAAGCATGTTTAATTTTTCTGTGGATACACTGACATCTAGTGTCAGAAATAAAGCAGAAGCTTAGAGAATGAACAGTTCACCTGCTGGATTGTGAGATATGGCTGAGCTGGTGTTTGGTGTGTACTCGCTGTGGGAAAAGAATTCATTCTCAGAGGGAAGAGCTGTCAAAGGAACCCTGTTTCGTTTCTTCTGGTTAAAGAGCGGCACAGAGAGGCAGCCTGGAGAAAACGGCAGAGGAAAGACAAGTGAACGAACCACAGCGAATCATGATGCTTAATGACACCACATACTCACTGACTGTTCATTATTTAACCTATTTAACTGTGTACAGATAAACTCCACAGCTTGCTACACTTATCCATACACAAACGCTCTATCACACAACCTGGCTGGAGTCAAAGAAATCAATGACTATGAGGTGGAGGTGAATACACTGGTGTGCAGACTGTGAAGTTATTATTTATTTATTTTTTACCAACCTGATGTAGGCCTGGCCGCCTGGTTTTCCTGTCTCTTCATTGTACTTGCTTAGATTGAAGTTTATTTAACTGGCAGGACTTTTTAAGCAGGGAAAACAAAGGTAAAAGAAAAAGACCTTAAGCTTGGTTTTCTGTGTAGCGCTGGAGGTTAACTAACTTGGAAAGTAGTAAGCTAAGCTAATTTATCTTGCTCTGGCTCACTAGCTAATAAGCTAAGCTAGTCATACAGTGAAAGTTCAAAGTGTCGTGCTTTTACAGAACCAAACCGTTTTCTGTGAAGATTCTACATAAATGACCAGGTCTTTGTTGGCGAAAACTTGACAAAGTATTACAAAAAAAAGGAAGACAACAGAAGTGAAAATTCAGCACCTCTGAAAGCGCCAAAACTCTACGGTGACAGGTGATGCCTTCACGGTCTATACGCAAGCTTGGACTTTGTAAACAGCCTGAAATAACGGAAAACACAGCTGGTCAAAAATAATTACCGTGACATCTATATTATTTGTGAGCTATTACCTTTTGTTTGTGATGTTTTTTGATCATCTGCTTTTGGCTGTTCTCTTATACACAAGAGGTCGCCACAGTGGATGGATCCACATATTTCATATCAGATTTTTTATTTTACACCGAATGTCATTTCCGATGCAACCCTCCCAGGGGGTTTGTATTCCTCCTTAAACCGGGAATCTTTCTTGTGTTAAGCACTGTAGCCCTTTTTTGGTAATATTGTATTCAAAATGATTATACATGTATTAGCTGTGGTCAGAATTTTAGATGCAATCAGGAAAGGTCATGAATGTCATGGTAATTTGTGGTTTTTAATCCTTTCTTTGAACTGTTCTTTTTCCAGTCTCCCTTTTTTAATGACTTTAAAAAGTTTTAAGTTCTAATTTTTTGGGGGATTTTTTTCTAATACACACTGGTTCAAATGTGTACATACAGGCTCAAATACAAGAATACACCCACCCTGATATGGGTGAAAGGTTTGATAGCTGTCATCAACCATCTGTCATAATTCTGACTGAATTTTTAACCATAATTCTTGGCAAAATTGGTAGAATTTGTTAAATTAATTAAATTTAAAGTCATTAAAGATGTATGTAGTGGAATAATTCCACTCTGGAAAAACAGTTCTAAGAAATCATTAAACGTGCAAAGCTATTATCACATTCACGAGTGTATCTTCCGACCACAACTGCACGTGACATAATTTTTAAATTCCAGGTTAAAAATAATTCTAATAAAAACAGGTGATATTTTAATAGTTATTTGGCCGTCACCTGGTGCACATGTTATGTGTTATTATACCCATAATGATAAATAATAATATAATGATAAATTAGAATATTTGCAGCAATGATTAAAAAGCAAAGTTTTTCTGTTATGTTTTGCTTCAGAAGCTTCAAAAGTTCACATTTATGCACTATAATTGTTGTCAATCATTAACAATAAATAGGAATCAAAGTTTAATTTTACCTAGATAAAAACTGACCTTTAGGCTGTCAGGCTGGCCTTTATTTAACCAACTTGTATTACCTCTACAGACATAAATTACATTACTGCACATTCATTAGGAAACTATAACAGCAATATGATGACTGCAGGTGTTTTGTCCTTTAAGCAAAGTGAAATTTTACATTCATGTTGTTAAGATCACAATAGTTGCAACATTATTATCCTCACAACAAAAGATGAATATGACTGAATTCTGGATGTGCAGAACATGACTGCAGTGGAATATAAAGCAAGTCACGACTCAGTGAAGGGAAATAAACATGCAGATTATAACATGATTAGCATTTCACACAAGCGGAGACAGAAACAGTAGGATGTGTGTGTATTTGTGTGATAACAGCAATCTGTTTACCCCTGTCTTCCAGTAGATGGGGGAGTGAGACAAAGAGCAAACTAACAGCCAGCGGGCTTTCTGTGTTACTTTTTAAACCTACTTCCACACACAGCTGTCATTCATTTCTCTTAGTGTGCTGTTTACCACAGGAAAACATGGATTTCTCATCCTTACCCAAATCCAAAGAACTGGAATGTAAAATTTGCGTTATAAGCTTCGCCTCATTTGCTAAAGTCTTTGTCATGGTGAAATGTGGATGCTATCAGTCCTGGTGGTGTTTCAGGAGATGAAAATCAAATGAAAATGAGGCCATCTTGGGGTGAGTGCAGAAGAAAAGACGCGGGCAAAGGTTTAAAGCAGTGCCATCTCTGCTCTTGGTTTTGTGTAGTGCCTGAGGCTCAATGTGCTGTGAGTTCGAAGGCCACCTTTTGATCTTGGCTTCTATGTTTTGACTTTTCTGGCTTTGTGAATCCATAGCAACAGCAGCACCGATGGTCTATTCAGAATGTCTTCCACGTCCTCTTGATCCATTGAGAAACTCTTTGATCAACAGATAATTTGTGAAGTTGAGACTTTATTCCAGGTGAGAAAAAAAATCCTAATCATTTCAGCAGAGCTGAAATGATTTTTTCTGGGATTCCATAGAGACAGTGACAGTGCAAATGTTTAAAAGCAATTGGAAATGAAATATTTACTGGGATTTGTTCATACATGTTTACTAGGATAATATAATACTGTTGCTGATGAATTCAGAATCCCACAGTTTATAATGAATAAGGGCAAAAAACCTCTATCTAGTTCCCTATTGTAAAATCCTGTTTCTAAAAGGTTATGGATTAAAAAAAAAACACAGAGCAACAAATTAAACAAGAAAGAAAGAAATAGGTTTTGGCCTCTTTATGGAAGAGCTTACAACTAGTCTTTCTGAATAAAAATGGGGATGGTTTATTACCCTGCAAAAGTCCACTGGTCCAAATAGTTAAACGATTTAAGAGTAAAATGGCAAAAGAGATTTCATCAGTAGCAGGAATGTCAAACATAAAGCCAAGGTGACCAGTTTTGGCCCAGCAATGGGTGTGCCATAAATTTTGAGCTTTTAAAACTGTGTGTTTCAAAAATGTTACACCTTGTCCAGCTGATAAAGAGCTCCCCCACACAGACCTGTCAGGCACTGAAAACATAGGGCGGAGGGGAGCAGGCCCCAAAGTGTAAAGATAAAGATCCCAAATAGAATGTTAAAAGAAGAGGCAATTACAACATAACAAATCCCAGCTTCACTGTAGTCATGTTGATTGCATGCACATTTTTTCTTGACCTTTTCCATAGCACCCCAGCTTTTTTTTCTTTCTTGGAAACAGGGATCTCACACAGTCCAACCTAATCACTAAACAGCAGAATCATTAACTCATAGCCTAGTGCAACTGTGGGTCAGTAACCCTGAGATTTTGTCTTGGACATTGTCTGCATGTGGTGTTTATCTGTTTTAGTGTGCCAAAGATAAATAGATACAAACATCACAGGCTTTAAATAAGTTGCTGGTCTAAATAATATTTTTGAATGAATGTTAATTCATGTTAATATGTTTATGCCCTCACTTCCAACCACTTCCTCATCTCTGTGCTGCACAGAGAGCCAGTAACACATCTTGTGTAACGTAGCACCGGGTTTTCGCTCATCTTCTGGAAGTTTCAGCTACGGTGCTATATATGTTCCTCAGATTCCCCTCACGGGTACACTCATCTGGAAGCTGATTACGGATTTTCTACCTCCCAAACTGGCAACCTGCATGTTGTTGAGGGGGAGGCGCTAGTTCACAGTAGTTTCTGGAAAGGAACCTCATGCTTACACCATGGAGAAAGTGAGTGTCCTGCTACTTATTTAATAACTATGACTTTCTAATTGGCATATGTAAGACATATTTGTGTATTCATTTGAGTTGCTTTAGGCTAACATTTCTTTACAATAATTTGGAGGTCGGAGAGGTTAGTCAGCTCTTTACACTGACCGTTCACTGTTTGCTAGTTAGCTTAGCGTAATCTCTTTAGTAAGGTGTTGTAGTCATTTGGGCTTGCCGTTTTCACCCGTCACGGAACATTTTGACGGTACTAAACTGTAGTGTTGCTTAACTTAACTTGAATTTATTGAGAAATTAACTTGAATGTTTATTTGCGCAAGGTTGTGTCTCACTTGTGATAGCACACGACAAGGTTAGCTAACTGTTAAGCTAACGTGCGGCAACTTAATTTGTCACACTTGCTTTTTACGTAAAATTATCCCTGTAAGGTTTGCCTGCCGCTGTTGCCAATGGATAGTGTAGGCTCGGTCTTGTAAACCAGCCTTCTAGCCTTCTGCAAACATGGGCAAAATACAACTTACCAAATCTCAGTCAAACGGCTATCTTTGGCTCACAACGTGAACATTATCAGTATGTCAGGATAAGAAAAAACAGAGAGCCTTTATTTTATTAAGAAACAAACAAACCAATCCTCTGTAACCCATTTATAAAACGAAAGCAGACGACTGTTAGCTTAAATTGCAGCATTCGGTCTGTAAGCACATGATGCAGGAGTATTTTTGGATTAGCTTCAGTGGTGCCATCGGCAGTCTGCACTCACACCGGAGGATCATTCTAGATGCACACACAGGCGAAGCTGTCATGGCTACAGCCGCATGTTGTCGTCAGCTGCCGCGTCCTCTCGAACGTTCTGCATAACAGCTCAGATATGAAATCCATTCATATCTGAGCTGTTTTATTACTTAAAAACTACTGTTGCGCTCAGACTCGGTAACCTATTTGTCCAGCATAAAATCAATAAGTGTGGTGCACGTTAGAAGTCAAAAGAGGGCACTGCCTAGTTAGAAATGTGCTGATGTTGCGAGGAATTCGTCCATGAGTTTAATTATTTTATTATTATTTTTTTTTAATTTAACCTTTTTGTATTTTCTGGATAACGCTAAAATAAGAATTATTACATTAAGGATTTGACACATTGTGAAAGTAAGACTTGATGCATGCCTCAAGTTTCTTGATCAGCATTCACCATGGTGCAACACATCTACAGGTTTCATTTTCATTTTGGACCGACTTAGTAAAGATTATATGTGGATTCTTACAACTATATGCACATTGTTTACACCCTAACTAAAATGACTAGACTGTGATTACTTGATGCTTCACACGATGTATCCAAGTGAAGTGTTTGGTCAACAACTGGACCTTGGTGATATAATCAGCTGTCCCTTGCTTAAAGCTCCATAATATTTACTGATTATTCACCTTTTTTTTTTTTTGACAAAACCAAACCCTACAGCACTGCAGGGGATTGTGGTGTAGCTATGTTATTTCAGACTGGATTAGGTCTAATGACTGCTAGGGAGAAAGTTGTGCCACATAACACTTGAAAGTTGTTTTTTTTTCATTTTTTTTTTTACCGTGGCTAGTTGTTAGTGGACTTGAGTTTTATCAGACAGTTTTCAAGAGGAGCCAGCAGGGAGTGAGAAAACCTTTTTGGAGTAGCGTGGTGCTCCTTTCTTCTTGGCATGTCATTGATTCTGTTAGATTCAGAGGAGGTGCAGCGGGGTTACTTCTCAAACTGTAACAAGCAGCTTTAATTGACAAAGGGTGTACAGTATATTGACAACCTTTTTTTCTTTAGCATTGTCAGTAGGGCTGTGCAATATGACCAAAATCTCATATCCCGATATAAGAATTCTATCGTCCCGATAACGATATAAATCACACAAATGTAACATATTCTGTGAATCTCGGGCAGCTCGACTTGCGGGAAGTGTTTCCAGCTGCGCCTCAGGTAGTCGAGTGTTTTAACAGATGCATGAAACTATACATTTTTAGACATAAGTTGTAACTGCCGCCGTTTTCTTTGTATTTATTACACGGCGTGCGGGGAAAGCCTGTTCTAACGTTTGAGCCACTACAGTGACCATCAAAACGATGAAAAAATATTGCCATAAACAGTTTATTTTGTGACACCACGAAACAAACGATAGCATAAAATGAAACGATCGTCATCTGATATATCGTTATATGAACAGCCCTAATTGTCAGTATGCTTTGCTTTTGTATTCACTCTGGCTTCCTGCAGAGAAAACTTTTAGAATAATATACTTCTAGCTATCTAACCTCTGTTTTAGTTTTAAAAGAAAAAAAAATCATTATTTGTAACTGAAACAAAAGTGGGTTTACACCTGCTTGCTGTGAGGCAGGCCTCATTTTCAGGTTAATGTGGTAACAAAATAAAAACACATTTTCTCTCTGCAAGACTTCTGCACCTGTTTGACCCGAACAGCTGAATGATTGTCAATTCCTTTTTCACTTCTGCCAGTAGCAGCTGTGAAGGATTTATTCTTGGAGCAGCAGAGCTGCAAAACAGAGGTTTTGTAAACATGTCTGTCTGTCTGTGCTTCATAGGCTTCAGCATTGAAAGACCAAGGAAACAAGGCGCTGAGTGCTGGAAATGTCGATGAGGCCATACGTTGCTACACCGAAGCCTTGAGTCTTGACCCATCCAACCATGTCCTGTTCAGTAACCGCTCAGCTGCCTATGCCAAGAAAGGCAACTATGAGAATGCTCTCCAGGATGCCTGTCAGACTATCAAGATCAAGCCTGATTGGGGGAAGGTGAGATGTCCTTTTTTATGCCGTTGATTTGTTGACAGAATATATAGTTATTAAAATTGAGGAGACAGTCTAAAATATTTGAAATGTGATCAACCAGGGCTACTCCCGTAAAGCTGCTGCATTGGAATTTCTTGGCCGATTGGATGATGCTAGAGTAACTTACCAAGAGGGACTCAGACAGGAGCCAAGCAATCAGCAACTAAAGGATGGGCTGCAGAACATTGAGGCCAAGCTTGCAGGTAAAGACTGGATTGTGTTTTTGTTTAGAGCTACACAGAAATGAGGCATGTGAGTCACTTTTTGTTTCTGTGTGGGTAGAGGATTTTGTGATGGCTGCTGACAGCATCACTGAAGTGAAAATGCATTTTTTGAGCTTAGGTTTTCAAAATGAAGGAGACAGTCCACTTGCGTTTGGAGTGTTTTTAATCAGACTGTGGGTAAATACTACAAGTTACAGAAAGATAAAAGCTAGTGAATTTAATCCCATAACAGTTTGAATATTTGTGAAAAAAAAAATCTTTGTGACCACCAATCAACACAGACTTTTTCTTCACCAGAGAAAACAATGATGAATCCCTTTGCCATGCCCAACTTGTATCAGAAGCTGGAGAGTGATCCTCGGACTCGTGAGCTGCTGGCAGATCCCAGCTACAGAGCACTGCTAGAGCAGCTCAAGAGCAAACCATCTGAGCTTGGAACGTATGTGCATTTTCAAAAACAATCTGCAGATTTAACTCAAGTTTTAAGTAATCTGGGTTACTTTTATTATATTTAGAATTTGTCAAAAGTTCTGGAATAGTAATGAAAAGTGTATAATGGGAGCACAAAGTTATGAAGGTTATTTAAGATTTATTTCCAAAATGTGAATCGGCTCTTATTCCTCTTGTCATCGTCAGGAAGCTGCAGGATCCCAGAGTGATGACTACTCTCTCTGTGCTTCTTGGACTAAACCTCTCTGAGATGGAGGAGGATGAAGAGCCAACTCCTCCTCCTCCCGCAAAACCCAAAGAGACTCAGCCGCCACCTCCCAAAGAGGAAGACCTCCCTGAAAACAAGAGAAAGGTAAATAATCTAATGTAGTTGCATTTTGTTTTTGTTTGTTTTTTAAAACATCCAACCTTCTGATTAGTCCATAGTCTGAGTTTTGTTCATCCTTAATTTCATATTTTTTAAACAGGCCTTAAAGGAAAAGGAGCTTGGGAATGCTGCATATAAGAATAAAGACTTTGAAACGGCACTGAAACATTATGAAGAAGCGATTAAACACGACCCAACAAACATGACTTACATATCTAATCAAGCAGGTATATTTTCTCAGATATTAAACATTTACTAACCTCATACAAACTTTTCATCTATATTTTACAGTCCCTGCATTATCAGGGGCTGTAACATCTAGCCCTTTTAACTGAATCTGGGAATATCCTCCAGAATGTGGCTGTGTGACTGTAACATAAACAGTTATGATATAAACTATAAATGAATACACAGTAATATAAATACAGTTTTTAGTTTATCTAACATGACGTAAAATGGTTAATGTATTCTATTTGTGTTTAACATGTGCTTGTATTTGTTGTCATTTCAGCTGTGTACTTTGAGAAGGGAGATTTTGACAAGTGCAGAGAGCTGTGTGAGAAAGCCATTGATGTTGGCAGAGAGAACAGAGAAGACTACAGACAAATTGCTAAGTGAGTTCTTTTATTTTACTGGTGATACATTTCTGGTGGAACAAAGATAGCCTTTTACTTTTTCACGATTGTTTTGAGATCTTACGGAAATTATGAAACAGGTTTTAGCCTACAGAAAATGTTTAGTCTGATAGGAATGAAAACCACATACATCTGTGTGGGTGTACTTCCCACATCAGAAATCAAAAACAACACTGAATGGGGCCACTTAGTGACCAGTAGAGAAACACTGTGAATTGTAGTGTCAAGGAAGCAGTGTTGTACTGACTAACTTTCCACCTGAGTGGCTTTTATTAAAGTTGCGTAAACAAATGATCTTGACTATCTGTAATAACATGCTTGCTATAATCTGTCTCCTCATAGGGCCCTGGCTCGAATTGGCAACTCGTACTTCAAGCAGGAAAAGTACAAAGAAGCAATTCAGTATTTCAACAAGAGTTTGACAGAGCACCGAACTCCTGACGTGTTGAAGAAGTGTCAACAGGTGCAGTAGTCCAGATAGTTAATAAATGGATTAGCTAATGTTGTCAAGAGTTGGCACAGTAAAAAATAATAATACCACATTAGCAAAATGATTTTTAATGTCTATAATTAACTGAAATTTTGAATGTAAAGAAAAACATAGTGTATACTTGGTATACAGTACCTGAACTGAAGTTCACTTACCATGACTTTGTAATTGGTTTTGCAGGCAGAGAAGATTTTGAAGGAACAGGAGAAACTAGCCTATATCAACCCAGAGTTGGCCCTGGAAGAGAAGAGCAAGGGCAACGATGCCTTCCAGAAAGGTTTGTAATAGTTGCAGTGCTTTCTGCTCGACTGCCATTTCTTCTTTTTTCTTCGAACTTGCACAAAGATGAGCTTGTCTTTTCTTTTTCACAGGAGACTACCCCTTAGCCATGAAACATTACACTGAGGCCATCAAGAGAAACCCTAATGATGCCAAACTCTTCAGTAACAGAGCTGCCTGCTACACAAAGCTGCTGGAGTTTCAGCTTGCCCTGAAGGTATAGCACATCCTTTCCAAGTAGGAGTTCATGTGAATCTAATGTAATTTATGCATACCTCTGCATTTATTGTGCATTTAAGACTAACCATGAGAATCTTTTATCTTGTCAGGATTGTGAAGAGTGCATCAAACTAGAGCCCACCTTCAGTGAGTAATAACTTTTATATTAATTACATTTTTGCCTTTTGCCTGAACTGTATCATCTAGAATTATGTCAGTTTATCGTAATTTTACAAATAGTTTATGACATTTGTTCACAGTAAAGGGCTACACACGTAAAGGAGCTGCTCTGGAGGCCATGAAAGACTATTCCAAAGCTATGGATGCATACCAGAAGGCTCTAGAGCTTGACTCTTCCTCAAAGGTATTTTACAGGATATTATACGCTTCAAAAAATGTGGACTTGAGTAGAAAAGATATCTCAGAAAAGAGAATTTTTTTTTCTCTATACTTCTGCTACATGTTTGCTGGTTGACACAGTAGTTAGTTGTCCAATCACTTTTGAATCAAAAAGAATTGATTACATTTTTTTTAACTAAACAGATTTGTGTGTTGGAAATGTGAAGAGAGCAGACTGATGAATGAAATGTGGTAATGTCAGATATAACTGTATTTCTAATGCGTGAACAGTGAGCGACAAAAGACTGAATTGAATTCTTTCCACTTTCAGGAAGCCTCAGAAGGCATTCAGCGCTGCATGGTAAGTCAGGCCATGAGGAATGACAGCCCTGAGGAAGTGAAGAAAAGGGCCATGGCTGATCCAGAGGTGCAGCAAATTATGTCTGACCCAGCCATGCGTATGATCCTTGAGCAGATGCAGAAGGACCCACAGGCCCTTAGCGAGTAAGTTTGACAGCTTTACCTCCAATGCAGTTTGCATTTTAACTGTATAGTACAGATTTGTAGTAACTTTGTTTGTTTGTTTTTCAGCCACTTAAAGAATCCAGTTATTGCTCAGAAGATACAGAAACTCATCGATGTTGGACTGATAGCCATTCGTTAATGGGAGACATGAGCCACAGCTGTTAAACCCTCCAAAATGAAACTTCTTTTACTTATTCTTTCTTCTTTCTCTTTTTTCTTTTTTTTTCTTTTTCTTTGCCTTCAAATCCAACATATTATCTTCCTGTTCTCACTAAGACTGTATGTGTTTGGTTTATTATTATTTTATTATATATATATTTTTTTTTTATAAAGTTTCACAAGTTTAAAATTGTTTTGATCAAAGCAAGTTTCATCTGGAAAGCTTCAGACTCCAGATAACTTTAAGAAAAGAAATTGGATTCATGTGTACGGGTGTTTTTAATACATCTAAAAGTAATAATAAAACGATGCAGTACACCGTCATGTTCGGTGTTTAAAGGGCAAATCCATCCTCAGGCTTTTCTCATTTTCCTAGTGGTTCATGATTTAAAGACAGCAGAAAAGAGAAGAGTAAAAATCACTCCAAATAATGATTATAATGTGCAGCACATCTCAAATTGAAGTTGTCCCTGACCTTTGTATTGTCAACTTTAAGGTTTAATTAAATACGGTGCTTTTATGTTGAAACGCCGAATTCGCATTCCTTGGCGCTTCCTCTTCTGGTCATTTCCTACACCTCAAGTGCAAAGTTTAATCCAATCCCTTTTAACACCTAAATGCACGTGTGAGACTCTTAAAAACATATTAAACGTTATTATGATTTGGACGCGTATCATCTACAGCTGTCTCTAAGCAACAGCACAATTTAGTCATTAGATTGGAACAGATGGTGATTAAGTGTAAATGGATTTTAAAGATGGTCTGAATGTGATAGTTAAAGGGTGGATTTACCTTTCAGTGCTAGCACATGCTGGATGAGTGTGTTGACTTGTGCGTTAACTTAGATTAACCCCATTGCACCCTGTCACAACTTGCTAATGTGCATCACACCCAGCAAAGTCGTTTTGCTTTATCTTTGCACATACTGCTGTTACATGTCCTCTCTGTGACAGCTCAGCTTTTTTTTTTTTTTTTTTTTTTTTTTTTTTTCTTGTCTTTCCTCTGAAAAGAAAAGTTATACTTCTAACTAACATTCTGCCACAATTTTGCCAATTTGTGGCTTCAGATACCTCAAAGTTACAACATTGTCATAGTATCTTTGTGCTACGGTTTCCAAGAGGGACTCAAATATTCTATTGTAATGCCTTTTGTTTCCACACATACACAGTAGAATAATAAAATGTAGTTATTTGTGCAGCACAGCAACGAAATAGGGCATTTCTATCATTCAAGTCCCCATTGTAATCATAAAGTACACACATCTCACATGATGTAAACAGAATTGTCCATGGAAGTGTAATGTACTAATGGAAACCAGTTGTACTGTGAAATATACAGTATCTGAATGTATCTTGAAAGGAAGTGGTGGCTTTTTTTTCATGACGCTGAGTCGGCAGATGGGTAGACCTACAGTTTCAATACCTTGCACTACTTGCATACCAGTGATAGATAAAATGACTGATCTAGACCCCTGTGAATTTAGGTATAAAATAAGATTTAAACGTACAGAGACATAGGCATTAGTAGCATGCTGGAAAATGTTAGTTTATTTTTTTTTTCTAAAGGAAGACAAAGTGTGGCAGAACAAATGCAAAGCATAAACATTAGTAGATTTTTTTTTTTTTTTTAATTAATGGAGAGAAAACATTTGACATTTGTTGTAACTACTGGGCAAAACTTGAGCTAGTGTTTGTGGCACAGAATTGCCAGATTTCGTTGAGCTCTTGAGCAATCTCGCTCCGCCCACTCCAGTAGTTCACGTGACTGACCGTCGCCCAGGTTGTGTCGGAAGCATCCTGGTGTTAGCAGTTTGCTAGGCGCTGACAAAAATTATAAAGTGAGATGTAAAAATTTTTATAATGGACGAATATATTAGTTTGTGACTACTGGTGACAAAGAAGACAAGGAACTACACAAACTGGCCTTTTCCAACATGGTCAGTTCGCTGGTAGTTGAAGAGGCCAGTTAACACTGCTAACAAAACACCAGCGGTTAGCTAACGTTCAAACTTTGACGGACAAATGCAGTCATTTGCTAGTTAGCTGCTACCGCTACCCTGCCAATTTACTACCACACCAGCTGGCTAGGTAACACGTCTTGTTATTATACGGTAGTTAGCGTTGAAGCTGTTTACACACCGACTATAACGCGTTGTTTTGACCAGTCGCTTATATAACCGAAGGTTTAACGTTATTACCAATTAACGTCAGCTAACTTATGAATAATGACTAGTTATTTAGCTAATGCTAACATTAGCAACTTAAACTGTTAGTTAAATTTCAACTGCAGATAACACATACAGTTACTCAGACTACGTAATTAATACCGACGATCATTGACACAGTAACGGGAAAAAACAACATCTTCTAAGTAGCAGGAATATGAATCTTCTTTCTGATTGATTTCGACCAATCACATGAGATAAATAATGCCAAACACCAGGATGCCAAACGAGTGGGGATTAAGGTTTGGGCAACAGCATTGTCTGGAATACAGCTGTCCGCTCATTTTGATAATCCTTGTCTCCTTCACAATGCAGCCACAGTAGATTGTTTTAACTGCTGAGTGTAAAACGCAAAATCTCGTAAATAAGAAAACACCAGACAAACCAATTTCATCGCAAAGTCTGTAGTCCACTTTTCTTTAAAATATGTCTGGGGACGCATCTGATAGTAGTGAAGACTCTGATGGAAAAACAAATGAAAGGGCCTGTACTGTCAAGCACCAAATCACCAATGGTAAGTCAGTCATATTGTCTGTTATCACTGTATGTAATCATAATAATAACCATAGCCACAAAGGAAACATCTGTGTACTGTAATTCATCTCATCATTTAAATAACACCGCACGAATGCAGTTTGTTCCTTTTTTGATGTGCTGATTCAACCCCACAGCTAACATCACCACATCAGTTTTTTTTTTCTGTAAAACGTTTATCCGATTTTAAAATACTTTTCCTTTTCCATATATATGTGTATATATATGTGGGCTGTACAGTATATTCACACACTGGAGTTCCATTATATTAAAGTTATAAAGCAGCGAAATATAATGTAACCAAAAAATGTTTCTCTAAACATACTCCATTTAAATGGGGAAAAAAAATCTGTTTTCTTTGATATTACTTTGTTACATTTCTTTCAGATTTTTCTTTGATTTGTAATTTGCTAATTTGTGTGAATGTGTGTTTGTTTTGAGGCTGAGGGGCATGTGAAAAGTCTATAGTGTACAGAAAATAAATCATTTAGTAATAAACTTAAAATAGATTGTTTGGGGGGCATTAGAAATTAACGAGCCAATATTTTTCAAGATTGTAATGGATTATCAGTATTTTTGCTTTAATATGAAAAATATTTTTTGTTCTGTAAAGACTCTGTCGTGTTACTTGCTTTTAATCAATCTAGGTCACCTAGCTTGCATTAGAGACTAAAGAACAGAATTTGTCATAAGTTTTTAATGGACAATGCATCTGTCATTGAATTGATTTTAGAGTGTAAATTTACAAAGAAAAATCCTCACAGATAAAATCAAGTAAATCAGAGAATTGCTGTTGTACTCTCCCTCCAAGAGTAGTAAAGTCAAGCTGTAAATGTGGCTGTAGTGTAATAAACAGTGTGAGTGGATGTTTTTCACCAGCTGTCACAGGTGAAGTGAAGTGATCTGCTTAGTGGCTCACTGGATAGATTGTAGATTTTAAGTAGAGCAACCTTTTAATCTATAGAGAGGGTACATCAAAGTGCATTCATGGATTATAACACAAGAAAAGGCACATTGGTAAAGCATTTGCTAATATCAAGACATATGGTATGTCTTTTTGTATTTTAATATACTTGGGAAAAACCAGCCAGAAAAGTACACCACTTTATTTGTGTAGAAAGCTTCCCTTAAAAGATAGAGCTCAGTGTGGCTTGTCTTTTTTAAAACAAAAACTTGAACAGAAATAGAAATGTAAACACTGTTCTTGTCTTTTATTTTTCTTTCTACTACTAGCTAACTTCACAGGTCACACTGAAAGAGTCGGCATGGAGAACTTTGAGCTGCTGAAGGTCTTGGGCACTGGAGGTAAGGATCTGCATGTAGCACTGAATAGAATGAAATGAAGATGAAGCTGTTGTCAAAGGTCAAGTACTGGTATGAGATATACTTAAAGCAGACTTGGTTGATTCCCCTGGCTTGGATAGTATTTTGAAGGCAAAGTGTTTATAATTGATATTTGTAGTTTGTAAGTTAAAATGTTTCATGTCATTTATATTCTCATTTAAATGTTACAGCATGAAAAATATCTGATGATTAACAGGGAATCCATATGCTGTTGATGTTACTGATTAGCTACAGGAGATCCTGGTGGCTATTTCCATCAACAATTGAACACCTAATTAAATTTAATGAGTGAGAATGATTCAGATTTCTGCAGATTTGATTAATCTTGCTGCCTGTTCACTGAGTATTTATGTCTTGAAGTGGAAACCATCTCTTTTAGGCACAATCCGATGGTGTATCTGTGTTTGCTCTGTTTGCTTGTTTACCATCAGCAGTAATTTTCAATATTTGTTTGTCTAGCTTACGGGAAAGTGTTTTTGGTCAGGAAGAACAGCGGCCATGATGTGAGCCAGCTCTATGCTATGAAGGTAATTTTATTAGTGTTGTAATTCAATGAATGTACATTTTAAAGCAGGTTTTTTAGCTAAAAATGTAAATTACTAGTCTGTGCTTTAAAATAAGTCATTAATTATGATTTTATTAACATTTTATAACCATTTTGTGTAAAATGTAAATGAGTTGGCTAATTATCTAAAGCCAATATTAGATTAAACATGGTACAGTGACAGCACATCAGATGTTAAAACCAAGAAATGATCTTTTTTTTTTCCATTTTATTTGCTCGTTTTGGATTTGATGCAAGCCGTTGGGTTGTATAATGTCCTTCTCTTGGACATGATTGCAGCATGTTGCAACATACCCCAAAGCGAAGTGCCATTCACTGAAAGTTCACGGAAGGAATGGAGAAGTTTAATTTATTTTGGTCACTGCCCTAGGTGTTAAAGAAAGCAGCTATCGTTCAGAAGGCAAAGACAACAGAACATACTCGCACTGAGAGACAAGTCCTGGAGCACATCCGCCAGTCTCCCTTCCTGGTTACTCTTCACTATGCCTTTCAGACTCAGAGCAAACTACATCTCATCCTGGGTGAGACACCGGGGTGGGACACTGGGAAAAATGTACCAAATATAGAGAACTCTTCTCTCTTGAAACACTGAAGGTCTTCTTTATGTTTCTGTCTTATACTGTATGTGTTTTTGTTGGCATTTCTTTTTTTTTTCTTTTTTGGACAATGTGTGTTTGTGTAGTTCTTTGTATTATGTCTATTCAAGCTCCCTGTGTATTTGTTTGTGTGTGTGAGTACAGACTATGTGAGCGGTGGGGAGATGTTCACTCATTTGTACCAGCGGGATCACTTTCCAGAAGAGGCAGTACAGATTTATATTGGAGAAATAATTCTGGCTCTAGAACACTTGCACAAGGTGAGGATTATTGTTTCCAGTTTTTACACATGCTAGAGTTATTTCTTTAATTTTGGCTAGAGCCTGCTGCTTACACAAACTAAGCATTTTAGCGATATGATACTTTTCATAGAATTGGGGTTGTGAGGCCAGAGACGCAACCCCAACTTACTCCTATTTTAAGCTCTAGGTTGTGGTCTTTTAGCTCTGGTTTCATCAAAACAAGCTGATGGTTAAAGAAGTAAGCCTTTCTGTTAAGCATTTAACTTTATTCACCAGATTAATGTTACGTTAGCTCCATAAACACTAGGTTGCATTCACATTGTTGTATACAGATTGATAAAGTCAGCAGTATTGTGTTTCTGTGTATACATGACACATGCTGCTTTCTCTGCTCAGATAATACTGCTTTTAAAGTGAATGACATCAGTAAATTTTCATTGTGTAAACGGTCTGTTGAAGCCAGCAATATTATGCACCCCATGTCTGAAAAGAGCTTTTGTCATTTAGTGTTGAACAGGAAGTCTGAGTTTCTTTATTGTGAGAAATACTCTGAAGCTCATAGAAGTGGTTTCCTAATGATGTTTCACAGCTACTTTAGTTTTAGATTTATCTTTAAAGTAGGTGTGCACCAGTGGCCTTAAATGATACTCATGACTTCTTTGAGTAGTTACACAAACCACTACATGGAGGGTGATTGGGTGCATTTTCAAGGTCCTTTTTAAAACATAACGAGTGTGTTCTTGAGGGTTTTATTTGGAAGCATTTCAGCCATCTCTTTGTAAATTATGACCTTCACTAGGTATCCTAAGATCACATTGCAGCACTTAAGTTATGAGATAGTCAATTTGTGTTTAAATTAGTGTCCAAAGAAATTGTCCAGCCACATTGGCTGAAAATCCTGCAGACTTTCATGAGTCGTTCCTTTTATAAATAATATCAAATAAAAGCATTTTAACAACAGCAACTTTGGGGACTAGTATTTCCTGCATTATAGGCTTGCTGTTGTTTGGACAGTTATTTGTTTTGACACATTTTGGGATTAGGACCCCTAGCTGGGATTAGAAAATGCTGTGATTACTAAAAAATAACAGATACATACCGTAAGTGGCCACTTTTTTCTTTTTGGTTGTAAAAATGTTTTTAGGGTTTCTCTGTTTGCACTGCCTGCTGTCTCTGTTCACAAATTACAGCTTTTAACATGAATGCCACTGGTAAATTTTCATTGTGTACAGCTTGGGATTGTGTACCGAGACATCAAATTGGAAAACATTCTTCTAGACAGTGATGGCCATGTGGTATTGACAGATTTTGGGCTCAGCAAAGAGTTTCTGGAAGAAGATGTAAGTAAATCTAAAACTACAGTGTGAGCATAGCAATGTGTACATGTAAATAATACCTGGGGTGTTTAACTGTTACCACAATCCAAACTGAAATACATTTTTTTTAAGTATGCTTGTTTTCTGATCATCACAGAAGGGGAGGACCTACTCTTTCTGTGGCACCATTGAGTACATGGCTCCTGAAATCATCAGAGGGAAATCAGGACATGGCAAGGTAAAAAAAAAAAAGAATAACAAGGGAGCAAATGCAGGTTTTGGTGTTAAGATCATCGGTTATTTGAAAGATTTTGAATGGTCACATATTGTGCACAAAATAATATTTAAATTAATGTTTATATTTACATGTATCAGTGTACGGGGAAGGCTTAAACATTTAACACTACAGATGCTTTAAGACTCATGACTTTGGGCCAGTGTGGTGAATCAAAGATGACTTTAATATCTTTGTTATGGAAGGCAGTACCGCCTCAAAAAACCCACCTTTAAATAATTCACAGTGAAAATTCCTTGTCCTCTTTATTGTGCTTTTCAAGCTGTATTCTGCTTCAGTCAGTAGATTGGTGGAGTCTTGGGATCCTGATGTTTGAGTTGCTGACAGGTGCGTCTCCTTTTACCCTGGAGGGAGAGAGGAACTCCCAAAGCGAGGTGTCAAAGTGAGTACTGTGCAATCCCATCTCCATAAATCATCTGCCTGGCCCTTCTTAACTCATTCAAATTGTCTCTGTTATTAGCTGTGTTTTACTAATAAATGAACCCATCGGCTGATGCTGATTTTTATGGGAGTGAAAAAGAATTAATGAACCTAAAAAACTGAGAAAATGTACCATTTTAAGAAAAATTTGAATTTAGTGTAGTTGCACATCTTAAAAAGTTGAACAGGGGCAACAAAAGACACTGAAAAGAGACAGTTAGAGCAGGGGTCCCCAACTCCAGGCCTCCTCCAGGTGTCCTGCAGGTTTTAGATCTCACCCTGGGTCAACACACCTGAATCAAATGATTAGTTCATTACCAGGCCTCTGGAGAACTGCCAGACATGTTGAGGAGATAATTTAACCATTTGAATTAGCTGTGTTGGATCACGGACACATCTAAAAACTGCAGGACACCGGCCCACGAGGCCTGGAGTTGGGGACCCCTGAGTTAGAGGAACATAGGATCCTATATCAGATAAGAATGGGACAATATTCATCTCTTCTATGTGCTATTGTGAATAAAATATGGGTTTATGAAATTCAGCATTTATATTTAGCTCATCCCAAGTTTTTCTAAATTTGCGTTGTGTATTATTGACTGACATTCTTTACATTGTAAAGAATGTATATAGAAAAGGAAAACATGAAGGTCATTGCTGATGAAGTTTCCACAACAGCAGTTCAGAAACTAGTTGGCTCAGAAACTAGTTGCTCAAACTGTGATGTGTTTTCTGTTTGCGACACTTTCAGTGCTGCTGAAACAGTACTGAGAGTGTTGTAAACAATAGAGTTAGTGGCAGCTTTGCTGGGCAAAGTATGTGATGCCACAATTTCTGCATGATCCCAAGAATAATTTTGTGCCTCATGTTGTGTAAAAAATCTTATCGGCCATTATTGGAGGAGCATGAATGTTGACACAGTTGTATTCTTGTCCATTGTTTCTGTATGTTAGCAAAATGTTTATATCTTCCCTTTGCCCTTCAGACGTATTTTGCGCTGTGACCCGCCGTTTCCCTCTATGATTGGACCCATTGCTCAGGATCTGCTGAAAAAGTTGTTGGTGAAAGATCCCCACAAGAGGCTGGGATCTGGACCGCGGGGGGCTGAAGATATCAAGGCACATCCTTTCTTCAAGGTCCGATGTCCCTTAACTGTCTATCACTTAAACATCTTTTCCCCTGTAACCTCAGTTCATTCATCTGTAACTCTTTCATTCTCCTTTTCTGCCTCACAGGGACTGAACTGGGATGACTTAGCACAAAAGAAGGTTGCAAGTCCATTCAAGCCAGAGCTGAAGAGCGAACTCGATGTGGGGAACTTTGCAGAGGAATTCACTGGGATGGATCCTGTTTATTCTCCAGCCAGCACACCCCCGAGCACAGATCGTCTGTTCCAGGTCAGTCATCATCACCTCCACACTGATTCTATCAAATGTTTCTACAAACATGACCTGTAAGCATTATTTAACTTTACAATCTGAAAAGTGCAACAAGTGCTTGTTAATAAGTAAAGGCTGTAATAATTCTTCAGTGAGCTACATCATAGTTACACCTAACACATCTCCTCTGTTTTAGGGCTATTCTTTCATTGCACCCTCCATCTTGTTCAATAAGAACGCAGTCATGGGAGACTTTGTTGAAACCCAAATTGGTGCTGACCGACCAGCTTCTGCTTCTGTCCAACGCAGCGCAATGTTACAGGTATGATCTGTATGGGTGTTTTCAAATAATTCTGTGATATGTTTGGTTTCAGGACTGTTTGTTAACAGAAAAGAAGGAAAAGAGCAGGAGAAGCTAAATTATTAACTGAAGTTGGTTTGTTTTATCTGACAGGATGCTTTGTATTATTAAATAATATTCAAGACACTTTGTACTGATCTCGGTAAACAGCACAAAAATCTATTTGGAACAGAAAAAGTTTGTCAGGCTGTCTAGTTGACATTTATCACCTGCGTGTGAAAGGTGTCAGACTCAACTCAGCAATATTTTTAGCTCGTCTTTTAAAAAAATGTTCCAAAATCTTCCAGAAGTCAAAGAAATTCGCAGCTATTACTTTATGTTATTAGATTTATAAAAGATGTAAGCTGGAATTTTAAAATACTGTTGTCATCCAGATTCTAATTACAGTGATAAACAATAAATTATGTTTATATGCAAAAGTAAAATTTCTGTGTAGGTTCTCAGTATTCCGGGTCATGGTAGTCTGTGAAGCTGGGAAAGAGAGTGAATTTAAATAGGTCGAGTCGCTTTCTTTCCAAGCTCCTTAGGCAAATGTGAAATGTATTTTTAGATCAATCCAGAATTGTTACTTCATAGTAATTCCTTCCCTGATAATAGCAGTGTAAGATATAAGGTTTATTTTTTTGTAAAGCACTACATATAAAATACTAATTAAAGCAAAACTATTATCCAAGTTATATAGTTGGGGAATTAAAAATAAAAGTATCTCTTTATATAGAGAGTGTACCCAGCTAGTGATAAATTTATACATATTACTTATTAATATATTCATGTAAGAGGCACAATTTAAAGTGGATCTACTGTGCTCCTGCTCAATGATCGGACTCTCAGACTGTACTAGAGTAGCTTTGCATATTCATATTTCGAAATAATCCTGTGTAACCTTATACTGAGCCAAGATGAGGCCCCTGAGTTTACCCACAATCTGAATAAAGCCCTTCAGTCATCTGATTGGGTTCCCGTCATAAACAGGAAGTTTGAACAGCAGATTGGTGAGCGTTCTGTGCTCACAGTCAGAGTCATGTGTTTGTCTAAGATGATGATATAAGAGATAATCTACGGATGACAATGAGTGAGCAGAAAATGCTGCCTGAAACTGAAAATTTGGAGCTATCTGAAGGCTGAGCTTTGTTCTCAAAGAAATTACTTGCACAAACGCTGACTTCATGATTTATTTGAAATTTTTGTTCTGTTTAAAATAGAATACAGTGTTGTAAAGGTTTATATACAGATATGACAGAAAATTGGCAAAAACATATTATGTGGACTTTGAGGAAAGCTTACAAACAGTGCTTAACAAGCATTCCTGTTTTAGGCCAAAATGTCTTAACCAGTTTGACCTGTCTTAGGACGCAGAGTTTGATGACATGTTGTACTTTGTAAAACTTTGTGTTTTACAAAGTACAACATGTTTTATCTTTCCAAATTACTTTTTCAGTTTTAAGGTATTTCTCTTTACAAATGTGGGAGCTGAATTTCAAGGTTGCTTCATGTAAAGGTCAAAATATCCCTTTAGCTTTGCTGGGGCCATGTCTATTGCCTGAAGTATAATAATCTCCTTTGATGGCTCAATGCTATGTTTTTTTTGTTCAGGAATCCCAGTTTTTTCAGCACTATGAGCTGTGTTTTCAAGGACCACCTCTAGGCGAGGGTAGTTTCTCTGTGTGCAGGAAATGCAAACACAAGCAAACTGGCCATGAGTACGCCGTCAAGATCGTCAGCCGTAGGTGAGCAGAGATGAAATACTTCTTAGTACAGTGCTCTTTAACAGATCTGTGTCCATGTGTCAATACTTTACTGTATCACAGTACCGCTGGAACGTAAAGGTGACTGAATGCCCTTAATGTTGTCTTTCTTTGTTAGAATGGAGGCAAACACTCATAGAGAGATTGCTGCCTTGAGGCAGTGTGAGTCTCACCCCAACATCGTCAAGTTGTATGACATCTTTACTGATCAGGTAGAATGGACAATACATAGGATAAAGATAAAAATGATGTATTGGTCAATATTAAGCTACACATAAAAACATCAGCCCTCATGGCCTTCTCTGCATGTCTCTGTCAGTATCACACATATTTAGTGATGGAGCTTCTGCGAGGTGGGGAGTTGTTGGAAAGGATCAAGAGGAAGAAACTGTTTGGCGAGGCAGAGGCCAGTCAGCTGTTACAGAGCCTGGTTTCAGCTGTCAGCTTCATGCACGAGGCTGGAGTCGTACACAGAGACCTCAAACCAGAGGTGGGTGGAGATTTGATAACTTTATCATTCCTGACAATATATATATATATAACACGCATGTTTAAAAAGGTAGAAAAAAAGAGTCTTGTAACTGGGGATCTGCTGTCTCATATGTGAGAGATGTGTGTGACGTTATTATTTTTTCAGCATGACTTTTACATGATGTAATCCGGGTTAAAAAGGGTTTTTTTTAAAAAGAGAGAGCGACAATCACTGATTGTCCAAAACATGGACGTTGCCATCATGATGTCACTCACTGGTTTTTGGACTGCATTTTGAAGCTTCTCCATAAATTTAATGTTTTCAAATGACAGACTGGTGTATCAACTACCAAACGTGAGCAATGAACAGACACAGATATCTGCTAATTAGCCTTACGTACGAGAGGTAACACACTAAAAACAAATGAATTCACCAAAACTGAAGCACAAATATTATTTGTCTAATAATTCTATTTAATATGCTCTTGAAGGCCCCAGCAGCACACACATGTAGGAGGGAGCAAGTTCAGTGACTTTAAGTGGTGCACGTGAAGCCTAGCAGACACTGATTGGCTGCTCCTTTTGTTGGACCCAAAGCAGCTGTGCCAGTAACTTCAACATTTAAATGAATAAGTTTGAAAAAAATTACAAAAATAAAATTGGAAACTGTCCACAGACGTCAAAACCACTTTTGTACCAGGCTATAAACATGTTTTCATTTAATGCTGTTTAGTTGTTTTTTTTAATGGAAGTCTGTCAAGGCTGAATCGTTTTAGGAGCCAGCCTCAAATTTCCGATTTAGGAACAGCAGTTTTTGGCACTTCTATGTTGGCTTAATTTTTCACCTCTGCAGGCTACTGCTCGACAACAGCACATGATGTGACTTTTGTGGTGCTTTTCAAAATGAAAGCAGAAGATTTCACACACACACACACACACACACACACACACACACACACACACACACACACACACACACACACACACACACACACACAACCGGTGGTGGCTGTCATACTCGTATTTACTAATAGTCTTTACTCTGTCAGGAAAATTGAATCTTAATGTGTAAGTAAAATAAGAGCTGATCCTCATGGCTTTTGTTTGTTTACCTTACAGAACGTGCTGTTTGCAGATGAGGGGGAGGACTCTGTGCTGAAAGTAATAGATTTTGGATTTGCTCGCCTGTGCCCTGCAGGCAGTGCCCCCCTGCAGACTCCCTGCTTCACGCTGCAGTATGCAGCACCAGAGCTTTTCGAGAGTGCAGGATATGATAAAGCCTGTGACCTCTGGAGTCTCGGGGTCATCCTGGTAATTGAATCTGAATATGTTGATTTTTATCATAGCTCGGCTGACTGAATACTAATGACCCTTGTGTGCGTCTTTCTCAGTACACCATGCTCTCAGGCCAGGTGCCATTTCAGAGTGAGCAGCGTGGAATGACCTCATCATATGCTGCTGACATCATGCAAAAAATAAAAGAGGGGGATTTCTCATTGGATGGGGAGCCCTGGAAGGGTGTGTCAGAGGATGCCAAAGAGCTTGTTAAAGGTACTGAATATGTTTGTTCTTTAGTTGAGATAAATGCCTGTTGAATTTCCTCTATTGCTTGCTTGTTTGTGTCTCTTTTCCTGTTTTAAGGCCTGCTAACAGTGGATCCAGAGAGCCGTCTCAAACTCTCTGATCTGAAAGAGAACAGCTGGCTTCAGGGTGGAGCATCCATGTCCACCACTCCTTTGTGCACGCCAGATGTGCTCGAGTCCAGTGGGCCCACTGTCCGCACTTATGTCAATGCTACCTACAAGGTAATAGATTGGTGTGAAAAACTTCTAAAAGGTCTCAGAAAGAATCTTAAATAAATGTATTTTATCTCACTTTTGTCGCCTTCCACTCTCACCAGGCTTTCAACCGAGGTAAGCGAGAAGGCTTCTTTCTGAAAAGTGTCGACAATGCTCCCCTTGCGAAACGACGAAAGATGAAGATGACCAGCACAGGAGTAGAGACCCGATGGAGTTCATCCTCTTCTTCTTCGTCTTCTTCCACTTCATCCACTGCCTCTGCAACAGCATCCAAAACACAGCCAAAGCAAGCCGTGATCCCAAAGCAGAGCTAGCCTGGCAACAGAACAGGGAGAAAGTGTTACGTGCTTGTACAGTAGCACAACGTCCTCCAGCAGTCAGTTAAAAAAAGCAAAAGCATACTGACAAATGAGAACACTGTCTTCACTTCATGTAAAATATAATTCCACTTTAACAGCTGCAGGTTTTCATTCCTAACGCTGTATTCTTTAAAAAACAAAACATGTATTTTCTGTGGTGGAAGAGGAGGCCTGACTGTCAGAAACTTTTAATACTTATTCAGTATTCACTCACTTTATTTTGGTGAGATCGCACACTAAAAGTTAAAAATGAGACATTTACCTGGTTTCACTGTGGGTAAGAAACAGTGCCTGGCTACATAGGGAAAAGGGAAAAAAGGAGCCATAAATAAGCAGAAGCCATATACAAAACAAAAGAAGTGAATACATCCATTAAGTCATTGTGAAGAGGCACACATTTGTACACGGCAAATGAACAGTCCTTCCAGTAATTTGCAGGTTTAATTCTTTGATTGTACTGCTGAGTTTTTTGCCACAAATATAATGATTAACACAAAAACTGCAGAAGTCGACACTGTGCTCTGTTAAGAGCGAGCAAGATTCAGGTGTTTGCAGAGAATGTCAAATGATCAAATGGTTTAAAAAAAAAAAAAAAAAAAAAAGCAGCAAATTTCTGGAAGGATGGAGCACAGAGAGAGATTACTGTGGGGTGCAAAACCTTAAGGATTCTATAGGATGATTAATGCTGTCGGTCTTTGCAAAGAAGCTGCACCTGCAGTACACTACTCACTGTACGGATCCCACTGAACACTTTGAGGAGCTGGGATTATGTGGCTCTGAAGAAGTGTTTTGATTGTGTGTCAAGATGTGTCCAACAGTAGCAGCTGTTTAAAACAAAAAAAAGACATGGAGACACAGAAGCAGACATGCAGTGGAGTGCGATTTTCATCATACTTGCTGTATATTACTCGCGCTATTGTGCCTGTCTGAAAATTTCTAGCATGCTAATCTGTTGTGATGATGGACTGTAAGAACTTTTTCTATTTTTGGTATCTTTGAGTCATTGAAAAAAAAGTTACTTGGAGTATTTTCTGTTTTTCTACGCTACCAAGTGCAGCTCAAGTGTTTGCACGTAGATGGAAGCCGAATGTGGCTGGTGATTTTGAACGCACATCGCCTTTGTGAACTTTGAATGATTATTACAGTTTTTATTCCTGATGGTATCAAATGCGGGCGGTAGTCTGATTGCAAGGTTGATGCTCAACGATTAAGCTCATCCAGGCTGGCTTTCGTCTTTATTTTTCCACAGAAGTGATTTTAAAACATTTGATGGCTTTGAACTTCAAATTACGTTTCAGAATGAGACACCTAATTGTGACTTTTTTGGTTGTTTTTTTAAGGATGGGGCCACCATCCTATGAGAGCTTTGTATATAATCATCATGCTTTAGAGAAAAAATAATGTATGTAATGATTTGAAATTGATCAGCTGTTTGGGTGGTATATTGTAATGTTTTTTAATGGACTTGCCTCTTTTTTTTCTTTTTTACATGTTGCACAGTCAGTTGATCAGTTAACACACATTTCAGCTTTAAAGGTGCTTTCACTGATATTTATTACATGTAATTGATTTTAATGCTGTGGTAATGGGATTATCATAATTTGGCTCTTGTTGTGTACCAGCCCGGCGTGAATGTTGCTGTATGATAACTGAGTGGCGATGGGAGATTGGTTGTATTGATATTTCTGAACCAGATGAAGCATAATTGCAAGTTACTGTAATATTTTCCTGTTGTTGTTTGAAGCCGTTGTCTGTTTGAAGGTAACCGGTTGTTTGTTTGGTATCTTTACTTAAGAAACTGCTTTTATTGATATTGGTATTATTTGGTTGCCATAGATATTCTCTCTTCTCTTTTCCCGAGCATTATTTTACTGAGTTGCACTGTCTCTGGTGTTGTTGCTGGGATTTGTCTTTTTGCACCGCAATGTTTTTATTTTATTTTTTTGGCTGGTGCAAAATAAACATTACTTTTCAATAGATTACTGTGTGGTTTGTCTTCTCGGTGTTGTAATTGTGCTGTAATGCTTGAAATCGCAGTGCTCAGAGGGTTGGAGACCCCAAATGAGAATTTGTTCAAACATACTTCATTGTGCACGAGCCCTGATAGCACTTCTATTTGATTAAGGCTATTTTATGAATGTACCTTTTTTTTTGACAGAGGGAGGGAAGTGGCCAACATTCCCTCATACATCTGTGATTTAACCTCCTAGGACCTGGCGTCCACATATGTGGACATCACATTTTGGGTTATTTAGACTAAAATACTCAATTTTGCTCTACAAGGGCCTGATATCCACTTACGAGGACATTATACTGCTAGTGTTCTATCAAAATTTTAAACGAATATCCTCATATGTGGATCTCATTTTTCTTAAAAACAAAAATAAGGTTAAAAGAATCTGGTAATTCTTTGTTTTTACATTCATTGGGCCCCAATATGCCCAAATATCAAAGAGAAATTAAAAATGCATGCTGTGGAAGAGTTCGGGTCTTAGGAAGTTAAAATAGTTTCTTGTGTAGAATTTCTTTTGATACACATTTTTAGTTTTTGCAAAACAAGAGCTTGCATGTATTTAAGATACAGAGCACTGATTCTTCTAGGGTGAAATGACATTTCACACGCTTAAATCGTATTGCTGATATCCTGTTATAGAAGTAATTAAGTAAAGATAGTCACAAATTGAATTAGGACAGTCACAAAGTGCTGAACACAGTCCACAGAGTCAACTATCCATAGTTGTAGTGGTGGACTTTTCTGCAGCCTTGGTGCCACAAACTGAAAGGCTCTGTACACCACTAGTCTTTAGACGTGTACAGTGAACGCCTCGCAAATTCTTGTCACAGCGAGCAGTAATGTATTTTGTAAGAAGCTGGGATATATAATCTGCAGCTTGGCTGCTTAGTTCTCTGTGTGTTAGCACAAGAATTTAAAATGAATCCTAAAATCTACTGGGAGCTGATATAAAGAATATAAAATAGGAGTGATGTGAGGGTACTCACTGTGGTGTTAATAGTCGCAGCATTTTGTAAAGCTTGGAGGTGTGAAAGAGATGATTTGTCCAAGTTGGTTAGCAGAACATTAAAATAATCTAAATGCAGTGACACAAATACATGAATACTTTGTGTCATCCAATTAAAAGGAAAGTTATATTTAAGCATTAGCTTGTATTGCACTCTATAATACACGTTTCACAGTTTATTTTCATTATATTCATTGTGCGTTGCACATAGCAATGAAAGGATGCCACATCGCTCAGTGCGAATTAAAGTCATCAACCTACAGAAGGGCTAAACTCAAAGACACCATAAAAATCAATGTGAAAAAATGATAAGGCAGGCTAGTCCATTTTTGTTGAAATTTCATTGCAGCAACCCAAAATGGTACTCGAGAGTTTCTATGGTCTCCATGTACTTGTATGATCTTATCTGTGAAAAGCACACGGCAGCAGTGGGGGACCTGGCAGTGCTTATCCTGCTCTTCCTTGCACAAAGGAGCAGATTCACCTCCTGTTGATGTTAAACACCTTCTACGGCCATGATTAACAACCCCCTCTACTACTTTACTAACAAGGTCAATATCACTGTAGTTTTACTCACCTGATGCTACACTTTGATTAAAAAGTGTTTGTTTAATTTCTTTTTAGCAATACATGTTTAAAAAAACAGAATTCTTAATAAAAGAAAGAAAAATGGAAAAACTCAGTTTTCTGTGTCTCTTAACAGAGTCTCAAATGTGTGGAGGAGATACCAGGAGACAGGTAGTTACTCTACGAGAGCTGCACAGGGCTTTAGAGAGCCATCGACTCAGCAGCAGGATTGGTACCTGCTCCTGTCAGAGCGTTATGATGTGACCTCCAGTCAGCTACTCTTGCAGTTTCTGACAAAACTATCAGAAATGGACTGCATGAGGGTGGCATGTAAGCCTGATGTGTCTTAGTGGGCTCACAGTCTTGCAATGTGCAATTTAATTATGGTTCACCAGAGAATACTAGAACTTTCAGATCTGCCACTAGCACCCCATTCTCTTCACAGATGAGAGCAGGTTACAACATGAAAGAATCTGGAGACGATGTGCGATGCTGCCTGGAACATCATCTGGTAAGACAGGTTTGGAAGTTAGTCAGTGACGGTCTGGAGAAGTAAGGCTTTTGAGGATCGTACAGACCCCTATGTGCTGACTGCTGTTGGATACCAGAGTGTGAAGGCAGTTCTTGGATGATAAAGATGAATCTATCACTGATGTGAGAATAATGTGTGATTTCAGTATTCCCTTGTTTTTCTGAGCAGTGTATATTCTCTACAATCAATTTCACCTTCATATAAAATTCTGGGAAACATACAACATGCCTATTATATTGTTAAGGCAATAATTACTTACTGTATGAGAAGTGCATTTGTTAAACTAGAATACCTGTTTTTGCGTGCAAACAAATGAAAATGTGCTATCTGGATTTGGATTGTGTGGGCAGCAGTCTAAGGAGAGAAGCCAAGACTCCCCTGGCCACCTCCTCCAGCTCATCCGGGGGGTTGGGAGGTGGGGATGAGTCCTGGGTCTGCCCCGGGGCTTCCGAACATTAGGACATGCCTGGAACACCTCACCTAGGTGATTTCCAAACAAACTCAACTGGGTCATATCAATGTGGAGGAGCAGCGGCTCTCAAATGACTGAGCTCCTCACCCTGTCTCTAAGGGAGAGGCCAGCCACCCTTTCATTTCTGTTGCTTGTATCCAAGACCTCCCATAGCTCGTGACCACGAGTGTAGACTGACTTTTAAATCGACATCACCTTTCCAGCTGAGAATCATGGTCTCGGACTTGGAGCTGCTTATTCTTTGCTTCACACTTTTTAATTCCACATATTTTTTTTATTCCACTGCTTCACACTTGGCCGCACATATTAAAATTGCAGTTTAATGTTATGTGCCTCATTATTCATTATTTTCATTATTCTCCATTTGTTCTTTTATGCCGTACCACAACAGTAAATCCTCCTCCAAGGTTAAATATTCCATACAAATGTGGGCTAGATGTTCAGAATCTCCTCTGCCGCTGCTTCTTAGTGAATCAAAACATGTTGACAACGGATGTTTGGCCGCGAGATTGCGTCTGCACGTGTGCTTCCTATAGTCTACGAGCTGATCTGAACACAGAATTGGTCTTTTAATGACTGCATATTTATTCCTGTACTTGGTCTTGATCTTGGTGTCCTGGAACTGTTCACATCTACTGCTGAACCTGTGAACATTAGCTCTATTTTTAGTATGGGTGTGTTAAGTGGCAGTAAGAAGAAAGGCAGCAGTGGGAATTGAGCCTCTGTAAATATTGGCGGGCTGTTTCCTTTCACTCAAACTATCCCTCAAAGCCTTTTACTTCTGTTCCTACTGAGCCTCCAGTACAGCTGAGCTGCTTAACAGTGCTGATCCCTGCATGAGGACACTTCTGATTGCCATATACTTCACTGTACTGCTGGTGTAACAAAGCAAAAAATAATTTTCTTTATATCCAATTTCCTGTCTGAACATTTATTATTCTCTCTCTTTGTTCCCAGTTTCCATGTCTATGTAATGAGTTTACTGTACCATTAGGTGGCTGCTGCGTGCTGCCCAGTGTCCTTTGTGTTCAGTTTTTTTCTGCCGTGTCAGCTCTAACATTTGGCTCCTGCCATGAAACATATTAATTTGTCCCTGTGCTTAAAAGAATCAGCTGTTAGATACTTAAAAATGCCTGACCTCATATTAATTTGACCCTTGCATCATTCATCTGCATCATTTGATGCTTGATGGGGAGCAGCACCGGGTTTAGAGCGTTTATGTGCTACATATGGCCATTAGGCTACGTGGATGTTTGAAACAATGCTCAGGACAAAGCAGCAATTAGCAGCAGAGGACGTGAGGATCAGGATAATAAAGGACACAATGTCCACTGATTGATGCAAGGCCTTAATTACTTAGGGCAAGGCACTAAAAGACACCTTGTGCCATGTACCAACAATCCTGTGAAAAAACACTGCAGTAAAGCGTTTGTAGCACTCACAGAAGCACTGATGAAAGGAGAAGCAAACAGCTGTTTAGTGGGTGTAGAGTTTACCTCTTAATTTAGCACTACACACAAATGTAAAATAGAGCAAAACTGAAGTAATTAGTTATCAGGTATCATCATATGAAATTAATTGCATTTTTTGTTACCTCATGGTGGATAAAGCATACATTTATTATAACAAGATAAGATATTTGAATAAAATAAGTAACTTTTTGTTTTCAGGGGTCCCGCAGGATATCAAGAGGAAGCCAGACAATGTCCATCCATCAATGTACAATGATGTACATTTGACATCTTCTACTGACAACTACTTATTAATGTAAATTTCAGTGCAAATGGAAGCAAATGCTTACAATTAGGCAAGGAGACATGGTCAAGACAACCTGGTGCCAGACAGACTGGTCAGAGTATTTCAGAAACTGCTGCTGTGCTGGGACTCTCTCTATACAAAGAAAAAGAGAAAACTCCAGTGAGCAGCAGTTGATGCCAGAGGTCAGGGAGAATGGCCAGACTGGTTCGAGCTGATAGGAAGGCAACAGTAACCCAAATAACAGCTTGTAACATCCAAAGTATGTCGAAGAGCATCTCTGAATGTAGAACATTTTGAATTGTGTAGCAGATGGTCTAGAGCAGCAGAAGACTGCACTGGGTGCTACGGTTAGCTACAGAGAGCTTAGACAAGCTGAAGCTAGAGCTGATTTAACAGGAGACAGTCAGGTGGACCGGTCAGTGTCCTCTGGGAATCATGCACATCTGTACAAAACTTCATTGTAATCCATCCAGTAGTTTCAGATATTTCTTCTGCTCTGGATCAGATCTGTAGACTCTCACACAGGGGAATATCATATTGGCGGCAGTGATGCATGTGGTAACACAAAAGCAAGGAGAAACCAATAAAACTGATTGGCATGCTTTGCAGCCCCCTTATTGATTGCTGGCA